TGTAGAAACATGGTGGTTCGACATGGCCACCTCCGTAGAAGAGGACCCGCTGCCTCTGTAGATAGAAACGGCTTATTCTAAGGTAACAAAAACACTACAATTCCTAAAATTAGATGATTATACACTAATGAAAACAGACCTATGAATATTATATTTCATTTCTGACAATAGATTCTCCTAAATGTTCCACACTGGATCTTTAAGTTGGAATCTGTTAGAACCAATAGCTGCCTGAAAAATAGGAACAATACGTTGAACAATAGTTAGTAGCATGGTAATATTATGCGTACATGATTTGTAATGAAGGAGCTGCATCTTGCAAAAACGCTGGTATCTTCTTTAAGGTTTCTGGGATTACATATCTGATCATTTTATAGCTTTGTCACAAAACTAGACAGACAGATGGATGAGATATGACCTCTTTGGCAGCGTGCTCTTGACAACAGAAAGGAGCTTCCAGAATCGGCAGATCGTGGGGGTCTGATTGGAGCTCGGCCGTCACCCCTGCCACAGGAGGGTCGGTGTGCCCATGTTTAACTGCCCATTCATGTTCTTGACCTCGTCTGTGAAGTCCTTGTCACTATCAAACAAGCTGGATAATTTTGTCTGTAGTTAAAAGAAGAATTGTAACTCCAACTGTGATGTTCCCACTCGGCGTAATAGCTGTTTGTGCCCATGAAGCGAAGAATCTGTCTGAAAAAACACCAAATCTTGCTACTTGCTACTAAGACACATCTGTCAGCCAAATGAAACAGAAATCTATCACTTAGCTTTTGAAATAAACTGCACAAAAACCAGCCAGAAATGTGATCTTCTTGGAACACATTAAAGGAAACTGTTAGAATAGACGCAAGAAGAATTATAGAATTTGCGAAAACCTGTCAGCATTGAGATTCTCCCGATGTCACGGAGAACGACAAAACAGGAACTATCGGCTGTACCTCCAGTTCTATGAGCATGCGTGTCGTCTGTGGGCACCCCGAGCTCTACAATTCAACATCTTCACTGTACAGACAGAACAAATAAGGACAGGGCTTAGAGGGAAGTGAGTGAAACCATAGGACTACATAGTAAGTTCTGAAAATATTTACTCAATCCCAGCTTTCAGTTGTATCTTTCAGTTGTACCTCCCAGCTTTGAGTTGTACACCTCAGCAATAGCTATTCCTGCGAGGCAAAACTTCAGTTTGCATTTGGTCTAAACACACCATAAGACAGATTGATGACATAGACTGACATTCCGCTATATATGATACACAGTACAGTGCCATGTTTCACAGACGGCAGGCTGTTATGTATAAAACACTACAGATTGGATGGGGATAGGCAGTTGTGACAAACCAATGGAAATAACATCCAGTTTGGCTTAAATTGTGTAAAAATATAACTAAATAACATCCCTGGGTGACAACACACTTGATTGAGAGAGAAGGCGTCACCAGACACTGGCTTCTCCTTGAGCTGCGGCACAGCGTCACTCTTCCATGTCTAAAAGACTTCCCATCAGCCACTCTGCCATTGATTTCTTCAGTGATCAGTATGTACGGCTCTGCACGTCCTTGCACCACGACTTTGACATTCTGATGTAGTTGTAAACACATGATTAAGTCACAGTGACCACACCTGGATGATACGAGCAACTCTGAATAACACATCAGGCGGAATCATGACTGTACCAAATGTCAGAGATATTGCTCAGTTTCTAGAATGATGATAGAGTCGTGGATGGAGAGAGACAGTCATAAAATAACCAAAAGGCCTCATGTAAACCCAACTGAAAATGGAGATCATAGCTCATACCTGTTCATAACATATATATGGAGCAATCTGCGGAGCTTTTACTCCTTTAATTTGGCCAAATGAGAATGATGTCATTCAAAACAAAACCATAAAATACAGATCTGGGTGTTTCTCCAAAGCAAAGGCCCTCTTTGAAAGGGCCCGTTCTTTATATACAGGTGCAACTGTACCTAAGATTGTGGACACAAAGGTATCCAAACAGTAAGCAGGGCTGTAGCCAGGATTTCTGAAACATCAGCAGGCTACAACAGCAAAAAAAAGCCTTCTAACAGTCTCTGGGGCTATATTCACATGCCATATTTACAACTAAAAGGTTCACTTAGAAATATAACATGCCTGCACCACCAGATGAATATTATTTATTTAGTGGATATGAGTTGTAAGCAGTTAAACCAATAAGTGATTCTTCCTTCTCAGATTATCTCAGTAGAAGGTCTTTTAGACGCCTGAAAAGGTGCAAATATGGACGATTTCACAAGAATAAAGCAATCCAATATGGAAAAGTTTGCTTAACAGATTTTTTTCTTTCTTGTCCCTTTAATCATCTTGTGACCTCTCAGGTTTATCTCGGGGCCTCTACGGGGATCATCACCAATCCCTCATCGACGTCTATGATGACCTTATTATGCAGATTTGGTGTCTGGTTTGATTTTTCTGAAAAACCAAGCCAAGAAAAGTACAACAAAATGAACTCCCCCTGTGGTTGAGAGTGAATAAACAGGCTGTATCTCATATCTATTTGTATCTGTGATGATCTGTACTACTGTGTGGCTTTGAGAGAGAGAGAGAGAGA